ATTCTGATTTCTGTATTCCTGGGCTGTCAAACAGAGCACTGTCACAGGGATATGGTGAAGTCTAGAGGGCAGGGTGGACTCTCAGGCAGCACATGGATACACCCTAAGCCTAAATCAGACCAGGAGTCAAAGCAAAGGACACTATCAACCATCACACACTGAGGCACCATTATTTTGGCACTCCCCAGCCTTTGGACATGTTTTTGAGGTGCTGAGCCAACTGGAGCCTTGACTGACTCTTAGAACTGGCTTTATTTCCCCCCAGTGGGCACTGATGTGGTGTGTGAACCCTTGGGGAGCCTGGTGCTGGATTCCAGCCCATGATGGAAAAATGAAAGGAAAAGAGAAGAAAGAAAGAAGGAAGTGACCCATGTAACCACAGAGCTGACCTCAGCAGTGTGCCAGCTTTTAGAGCTGATTTGGAGGGCAACAATAATCAAGGGCACAGTGGTAAAAGGATGCAAGATAGGCTTCCTCCAGGCAAAACTCCTTGGCTGCATTTCTCTGACTAAAATAACTGGTTTTCCAGACAAAGGAAATGTGGCAGATTTAATGTGTTTGGTGAAGAAGTCCTTTTGCTGCATGGGAAATGCTTACTGGTGACATGCTGGGAAACACAGATATAATTGTGTAATTGATAGAGAGGTGAGAGCTGGCCTCCCATCTACCTTTAGTGCTGCAAAGGAGGATCAGGTATGAAAGGAATTTAGATCAGTCACTAGTGGGCTTCCTGAAAGGTCTGTCTTGCATTTGATCTAATTTAGTATGCTCATTAATGACCTTGGCACAAAAAAGAAGAAAACTGCTGGAAAATTGAAGAAAATGCTGACAATACAAAGCCTAGAAGCAGCGTCAATGCCTCGGAGGATTAGGATGTCAAACAGGAAGAACTGAATAACCTTCAGTACTGCAATAACAAAACTAGGATGGAAATAAACAGCACACAGTGCAAGGCTGAGGGCTCAGGGACCAATAACAAGCATTTCTGTGTTAGAGTAGGGTTCATACAATGAAATAAATGAGGAGGAAAACATCTCGAATGACTGTAAGCCACAAATATGATGCAGCCATGAAAAAAGCAATAAGAAGTTAAAGCAATGGATTTAGCCCAGAAAAATGATTGAAGGAGGAGATACAATGATTTGTTGTGTCCTGTGGCAAATAGCCCAAGGCTGAAAGGAAGGGAGGGAAAATACTCTGTAAGAAAAGGAACAGAGCTGATGCACAAAAAAAAGGCTGAAAAAATGACTAAAGTGAGTAACTTAGGCTGGAAAGAAAAGGTTCTGACCCACATGAACAGCAAGGTCAAAGGAGAGTCTATCAGTGAGGGAAGGAGCCTGTGGGAAAAGCTCAGCTTGTAGAAAGCAGTCTAAGATATGCTGCTGGTAGGAGCAGAAAACTAACCCTGGGGCTCAGGAGATATTTTCAAGTCCTAAACAGTGAAAATAAGTGCTCAGGGTCTCCTGTGGTTTTCTGTAGATGCAGCCAGGGATTTCTGGCATTTATGCTGCTGTTCAGCATCCATGTAAGAACACCAAATATTCAGCAGGCCCCTGAAAGAACTTAACCTCTCCTAAAATCTCATACAGCAAAGAGGAGAAAAATTACCAGCGTTTGCACACAGTCCATTACAAGTCCAACAGTTGGGGAATTTCATGTGGTTTTGGTGCTCTTCCTGCCTTGGAGGGGAGCAGTTTCATAGCCACAGCCCCAGCCATGCAGGCAGAAGTGTGTGGCCAGTGGCCGAGCTGTGTTTTCAGTGAAAACAGCTGATGGGATCTGTGATTTGTGAGTGTGGTGCCAGCCCCAGGGCTGGCCCTGCCGCTGGATTTGGGTTGGTGCTGGGCGTGCTGGAATCGACCCATCCACGCCGCATGCAGGAATCCAGATTCCATCTGGTTACAGCAGGGTTTTGTAAAAAATACCTAAAGAGCTAGGCAAAGGATTAGAATAAAGAGGTGCTAATAGGGTGCAGTTGGGACAGGAAAGGAAGCTGTAAAGAATTTAATGGAAAAAGAGGGTCAAGGAACATAAAAAATAAAATAAGAAGAAAAAGAGGCATTTTTTTAAAAGGTGAAAGAGTAACAATAATAAAGAATGAAAGATTCTTTTATTTTTGCCAGTTTCAACAAAACCCTTAAGAAAATTCTCTTCTCTGACGTTTAATTTTAAAACATGTCAGTGTATCCAATCAAGTTTTAAATCCTGCTTTGTTTTCCTCAGATGCTGGGTTGCAGTTGGAGAATTCCAATCTTCTCCTTGGCCTCATGAAAGTACTGTCCCCTGCCCTACATTATTTGGCTCTCCTGAGAGGTGGCTGAAGTTCAAAGGGATATATAATTTACAAAGCACTTTGGGATCGTGCTGGAAGAAAGACACTGTTATTAATAACATACCCTTTTTTCCTCCTGATCACTTTATAATTGTGGGTAACTGTTTATTTTATTTTTATTACAATCTCAACAGCAACAGCCTCTTCCTCCACTTAAACAATATGATCTCACCCCAACCCAAAGAGTTTGCAATCCAGCTTATACATGGATTGAGAGAGGAAACAAAGGGACAATGTGGGATAGTGAGCTAAAGTCACACAGCCCATCCCAAAGTGAAACAGAGACTGAGTGTCCTCTGACCCAGTCCTGTGCTGGCCAAAAGACCCCCCTCTAGAGATAAATACTCTGAAAGGTTATTCTCCTAAATTTTGAGTGAAAGTGCAAATGCAATTCAGAATGCACAAAACAGAGCTGGTTTACCAGAGAAAGGAGAGCATTGTTCCTTCTTCTGAACTCAGGTGAAGGGCTTAGGTCTGAGTGGAAATGGGAAAGGCCCTTATTGTAACAAGATGCTACAATAATTTTACTTGAAACCCTAAAACAAATTCAGGGCTCATAAAAAAAGCATTGACATGGTGAAAGAGAATGGTTTCTTTAAGATGTTCTTGGTCAGAGAATATGCTAAGCATGCTTTTCTAATGTCTGGGTGGGCAAACGCAAGTGGAAATTTAAATTCTACAGAGGCACAGAGAATGTGCTTCTGAAAATGTTTCCAGTTAAAAGCATGTTAAGTGTGAAAGTGTACTCCACACGGAGGGAGTGAGGGAGTGTGGTCTATCAGATCATCAGCAAGGATTCTGTGGCCTTTCCAGGTTCTAAGCACATTGACAGTGTCTGCTGTCATTGCTCTGAAAAAAATAGGCCAACAAGAGTGTCCCTGCGCCAGAGCTGACTGCAGCTGGGCAGAGCTGTGTAAGCTGTGCCCATAAACTGCCTGCTGGCTCCACACAGGAGAAGAGAGACCTTGGAATAACATTAAGGGCTGGACCAAATTCCCCAGAGGAACACAGGCGGGATACAGGAGCAGAATAATCCTTTCTCAGGAGGTTTTGTGTGATTTAACCTCACCCACTGTCACTGCCCTGACAGGCAGCAGTGCTGGGCACCAAAGAGACCTCCCCAGGGGCTCAGGGTCATGGGGGTCCCTCAGAGCACACTGTGGGTCTCAGGGCTGTGACACGGCCAGAACTTCCCATCCTTGCTCTCAGCTGGTAGAGGGAGAAGCTGCCCACAACTTCCAGAACAACTTCCAGAACATTTAAAGTTGCTTTTGTTCATCTCTACCACCTGGAACCCCTCCCATACCTGCCTGGGCTCACTCCAGTCTACTCCTGACAGCTTTCTAAAAGGTCTGGGAGAAATACTTCATGCCAGGGCAGTAATACAAGCAGATGCTTTTTGTTTCTTTCTGAGAGAGTGGCATGACAGAAATCCCAGCCTCACTGGACTTCCTTCTTGAAGGAAAGAGTTGTTTCCTTGAATCCATTGGGATTTTGGCTCTCCTTACACACCAGGGTATCTCATTATACCTTTCAGTACTGCAAGCTGTACAGCCAATATTGTCCAGCAGCAATAACAGGCAGTGCAGACAGAAACTGAAACCTGAACCAGCCTTATTGATGGATGACCTGACACTGCATTTCCCTGCTCCAGGGCACTTTAATCAGAGTGCAGCTCTAATTAGAAGGAAGTGTGCTGCTTGCTGTTCCCCCCATTGCTTCTGCCAGCAGGATTAGCTTTGTAGGTGCATTTCCCTGGCTTGTCTGATTATCCAAGATGCAGCAACCAGCAGGTTGGTTTGAAGATGCTTTTTTAGGTATTGTTTAGCTTTATCTGAAATTGATTTTATCACAGAATATTCTGAGTTGGAAGGAACCCACAAGGATCATGGAGCCCACCTCTGAAGTGAATGGCCTACACATGGATCAAACCCCCAATCCTGGTGTTATTCTAACTACTATCAAAATTGGAGTTTCTACATTACAATGCTAAACATCACTGCAGAACAAGAGTGAACTTTTTTTTTGTCAGCAAACAAACTGAACAAATTAATTTACCTTCCTGTCTTTTGTCATTTTGGCCAGAAATGTCTTTTTTAATATAACACAGATCAAAATAATTTCAGCTGAAAGTGCTTGCCAAATTAAAAAAAAAAGATACTTTTATTATTTTTAGAGATCTCTAATAACTAGTGAGGAGAAAAGCACCCTTACTGAGAAAAACATCTAAAATGTGTTTCATCATAATTTAATTTATTGGCTTCAGAGTTTTTGTAGCACTGTTTGACAGCTAATCAGACCCCATTCTGTGCTGATTCAAAAAAAGAAAGGTTAGATATGCAGTCACTTTACTCTTGTCTAACTTTATACTGTAAATGCTGTCTCCCAGGAGGCAACCAAGGGGAAAAGAAAACCATCCTCAAACAATGTATGAAGGCAGCCTCCATGGAATCTGGCCTTACTGACCACAAATTAAATGGGCTTTGTCTGAGGTAATGAAAATCTGACCTGCTCAACAAAAGGAAATGAATATTACAGCTGCTTACTGTGGCTAACAATGTGTCCCAACACTTTGAGACATTTGCACTGTGTTCACCAGATGGAGGCTTTGGAAAGGGGCAGTTTCTGAAGGAAAAGGATATTGGTTTTAGTGTTTTTAACTCCTTACCGTGACTGGCAGGGGTGTGTGTTACATTTCCTGACCTGGGGCTCGGGGCGGGTCACTCGCTGGCAGTCACTGTCATTCACCAGTGTCATGGTCTTGTTAATGATCCGAGTGCAGGACACGATGGTTCTCCTCTCACCTGGAAGCCAAATCAAAAAGAACTCTGAACAAAACCACCTCCACTCATCAGAACTCCAAAACTCAAGAGCTTGGAGCTCCCTGCTCCCTCTACCAGATGTACTCTACCACCTCTGCAAGAAATCTTAATCTCCACTTCTGCCTGACCTTTGTACTGGCATGTTTTGGGTTGGTTTTTTTCCAGAAAAGCTACAAATCTTTCCCCAATAATCATGCAATTGACTGTTTCACATGAGCATCCAGCCTGGGCTTTCTCCTTCTAGTGTTTAACGTGGAAAGGAGCTTTAAAACAATTTGTTTTCGTTTCTGGTTCCTCCTCCACAGGTAGCTGTGCCCTGTCATCACCCCAGGCAGATGTGCTGAAGTCACACAACCTCCCACCCCCTGCTAATGTGACTGATAATGACAGGACAGCTGCCTCCTGCTGCTCCGGGCCAGGAAGTCAGCATGAAAAGCACTGACCAAGGTTCAAGAGTCATTAACTGAGCTTGTTCATATTTCACAAAGAGAAAATAAAGCCAACAAAACAAATTGTTTCTCATCTCCTGCTCCTCCAGATATACTGCTTTAAAATCCTCGTGGCAGGAGGCATCTCAGGAGGAGCCAGCATCTCTCACACAAACTGTGCACCAGGAGTTTCCTTCACCCAGTGTGGCCCTCAGGGCTCAGCCTTCCACGGAGTGGCATCAGGAAAGCTGTGCCACAGGGAGCATGACAGTGACCAGATGTGACAAGGAAAGTGATACTCCTGCTCTGTGTGACTTTGCCTCACTGCTAATTTTGGTTTCTCAGGTTTGTTTTCTAACCCTGAGACTGTGTCAGATTGAGTTTATTCACCATCTGCAGCTGAAAATAAAAAATAACTCATGTTCTGTTAATAAAAAATATGCAAACATCTGTATGGAAAGGAGAAAGTCCCTTCTCAGCTTGGATAAGTAGCAAAAGCATTGGACAACTAAAATAAAAGACCAATTATCAAGCTAGTGCTGGTGGGAGCCATGCTGGAAGACACTGATTTGATTCAAATTTGTAACAGGCTTACAACAAAAATCAGAAGAGCCACAAATAAATTTCCTTTTCCCTCATGTGAGGGTTTAATGGCTTCAAAATTATTATTTTAATGCAAGAGTGTCTATTCTAAAGTGAGTCCTATTTACAGAAAAAAATCAGTAATTTCAGTGCACTGAGGGCAGTGAGCCTGTAAATGTGAAGATGAGCTCTTTCCTCCTGTCATGTCACATCATAAATAACTGAGGCTGCTGGTGCAGACAGACTGCCCAGGACGCTTGGAAATGATCTGTTTTCCTCGGGGAACACCCTCCTCCTCCCAGCACTGCACATGCAATGGAGAGTGTCTGACACAGCAGCCTCTGCTCTCACAGCACCAGCTCCCCCAGGGCTGCAGCAGATCTGTCTGGGCACATCCAGGGATGCTCTGGGAAGGAGCTTTGCCATGTGCTCCTGGGTGGGAGCACCCGATGCAGATCCCCAGGAGCTGCCCCAGCAGCACTGCCCTGCTCCATCCCTGGGGAGGGAAGGGCCTTTCCCTGAGCGTGCCTGGACACCTGTGAGATGCTGCTCCAGGAATGTGCTGGGGGCTGGAGGCTGGGGCTGCACACAGAATCCAGGTGCAGCTCCAGCCTGCAGTGACAGAGCAGTGTCCCTGCCAAAAGGCTGGCTGGAAATTAACTGTGGGGATGGGGATCAGAGCAGGGGGAGCCGGTGAGAACGAGCTTTCACTGAATTCATTACAGCAAAGTCCATTTTCATGGCCAATTTCCACCTCTCCTGTGGCTGGAGGCTGCAAACAGCACTCAGGAATTCCCACCAAGCTTCCTGGTGTCCCTACCTCCTCCACACTGCACACTGCATCCTTCCCATCCACTGTGTGTCCAGATGTACAAGGAGTCCTGTTGCTTTTCTGGCTCACTTCTGTTTTCAGCAGTATAGTTTACAGGGATGGTGTATTCATAATGAATTCCATAATTCTGGTCGTGGAATAACAGCACCTGGTTCAGCAGGAAAAGAGAGGCTGTTGCAACACACTGTGCTGGGAGAGCCAACAGGCTGAGATAGCACTGCTGGAAATGCTGGCTCAGGAAAAAATCCCTAAAGTATAAATACCTTGTGAAAGGCAACCAAATCTTTATCTAGAAAACTTAGATTACAATGGTACTGCTAAAACAGGGCAACTGCAGGAGCAAGAACTGCTTATGATTTGTGAATATTTAAAGCAGCACAGGGATGTCTAAACCTGGAATTCAAGGCATAACTTCCAGCCTTGTATGTGATCAGCAGTACACTGGCTACTCAAAGAGAAAGACAACAGGAAGCATTAAATCAGCACTTTTCATATACCAACCATTTTAAAGAGCATCTAGAGTTAAACATCTGAAAGAACAAGGTGATGCTTCTGAAAAACAACTGCAGCACAAAAAGTCCCTTGTCTCCTGGTGAATGTGGCACTCTAGGCAAGCATGACTATTCCAGCTGACAAGCTGTAGCAGCAGGGTTTTATGTCTCAGAAAACAGAGATAAGAAAAAGCCATTTCATACAGCTTCTGGCAACATATATTTTCATCCCTGCATATTGCTAGAGGAAGGTGAAACCTGTTTCCAACAGCAGGCTATTTCCTATGGAACCACTTGTGATGTCTCTGGTGTTATTACTCCAAAATTCCCTGACTGTTAACAAAGGAACAGAGAAAAATATTTATGTTTTCACCATGGGCAGATGAGAGTACTGGTCCTGTTTTGATTTACATGTTGTACTTCATTTGGCTCTCACTTTCCCTGGCTTGAATCAGAACTGATTGGAAGATATCCCATGGAGAAGACGGCCCATGGAATCTGAGTTACCACAGTATTAACAAATGCCATAGAAGCACTACTGTAATGTTCATGCCGTGGCTTTAAACCTACTTATACTTCTTATCCCATGATTTGATCATTAGACAGGTGAATTGTGCTGGCTTTTGTCACCTACTGAAAAAAGAGCAATGCCTTACCAAATAAAGGCTCTCAAAGTGGAGCAAGCAGCTGCCTGTTTGAAAAAAAGACAAATTTGCAAGTGCTATTATCCCCCAACAATAATTGTTTCCCCTTCAGATTTGCACAATCATTCCTACTTAACCAATAATCTCACTAAAGCTGTCAGGAGCTCATTTAACCACACAAATGTGCTGAAAGAAGGGGTCCTGGCAGCCTGTGCTGTGAACACTGAGGGGGCTCCACAAACTCAGCACCCTTGAGCTGCTCTGCACAGAGCAGAACCCTGGGCAGATGAGCCCCTCCCAGAGGATGTGGGGAACAAGGACATGATTTTGCTTCAGCTACAGAGGGAGCCTCACTTCCAGGACTGAATACCAGGGTTGAAACCAGCCAGCCACCATTACAATTTCAAAGAACAATGTTGGTTTTTCTAAACACAATTCAAACACCAGGCAGGCAGAGGCAGAGAGCCTGAGCCCTGACCTGGCTTTCTTGAAGTGCAGGAGACAGAAACTCCTGTTCTAGAGAACTGATCAGTCAGCCTTGTCTAAAGCCCCCTTCTGCTCTGGGAGTGTTTGGTTGTCCTCTGTTGCACAAGGGGGACCAGCACAGGCCTACTTACACAAACACCAGTTTCTCCAAGAAATACACACAGAGCAATGCACTTGGAGAAATGCCTCAAGTATTAAAAACCAGCTCCTAAAAAGAAATCCTTATTATCTCAATATGGGTGTGAGACCAGTGAATCTAGAGGCCCATATGAAACCAATTTCATGCAATTTCGTAGCCATATATAATTGGGGGGTGTGTGTATGTGTGTATAATTGGTTTCAAATGCAGGTCACAATGGATTGACTGAAGCTTCTGGCTCTTTGTCAGTCCAGTGTATTCCACCACTGTTTGAACAACAGTTTTCTATTTAGAGGGAACTGGTAACCATCCTGCCTTTCTTGTGTTGAAAGAATGAAACCCACCACCCTGTATCAGGGAAAAGATTTGTATCTGATTCGAAGCAAAGACTCCATGTGTGCTTTGTTTACCACTGGCAGTGATTTAAAACCACATGTTTTTTAATGGTCTGGTAATTTTTACATTTCTCATTTTTAATCATTTCTGTGAAAAAGGTGAAGAAGGAACATTTCCTCTGCTTATATCTGCTGAAAGGGCCTGTCTGTATCTGGAGAAGCTCATGGAGAAGCTCAAAATCACTCCTATGTTAGCTACTTACTCCTTAATGAAGGGGAACTGAGCATTTCTTTAAAATCAAAGCTCTGCTGATGTTGAGGTACACAAAATGCCAAAATACAGATTTTACTGCAGTGGACCTCAATCAAGTAATGCCCTGGAAGGTTCCAGGAGCTGCCAAAGGAACCCTGCACAGCATCCTCCCAAACGGTACCTGTGCAACTCCTGTTTCTCACATGAGCTTGGGAAGACCTTGGCAGTACAAGGTACTCTGTCAGAGTCCTGGTTTCAGGAGGGAAGGCTTGTGTTAAGGCCAAAGTCCAGAAGAAGCTGATGTTTCTGATGGTGAAGAGGGTGTAATACACCTGTAATAGACTTTCTTTGAGTGGGCACTCCCTGGACTACACAGGTGAGCCAGGAAGGTGCTGGTGAGCTCAACCCTGCACCTCTGACTACTCCAGCTGTAACCTCTTTGAATCCAGCTTGACACTGCTCTGTGAGCCTTTAAACTCACTCATCTGTCTGAGAAAGCAAAGACAAAACCCCTCAGGTCCCTGTGCAGCAGATTTTGACACCAAGAAGGTATTGACAAAGTGGATATTACTGTCAGCTTTTTGTGTGTGTGAAAAGTTCAGGCATCTTTGGAGCATTTCAAACTGGGTCAGGAAGTGTTGCACAATGAACACCAGCAAGCCAAAAAAATCAGGTGAGGGAAGGGAGAGAATGCTGATTTTTAGCAGTGCTTACAGACAGCCTTCAGAGAATAAACACGGAAAAAAGTCGCAAGGAGAAGAAACAGCACAGAAAAAAATGGAATAGAATAAAAAAGTTACAGGAAACAATGAAAGAAACAAATATACTTTCTATGCAAACCTTGCCACAGAACCTGTAAAGCTTTCTGCAGACTTTCAAACAGGAACAGATATATGAGACAGGAATTATTACAGCTGTCTCAAAAATGCAAATGTTAAGGTTACACCAGCATTAAGGGACTGGCCCATGGGTCACTCTGTCACCCACCAGTGACAGCTCTGGGACCACAGTCCAGCTCTTCTCTCCCCTGTGGACTTCTCATTCATGTACAGCCACGTGGCTGTTCATAAAATACCAAGCTGGGTTAACAGAAGGGCTATGCTGAACATTAAGAAAAAATGTCAAAAAACACCTTAAACTACATACAAATGAAAAAACAATAGAGAAAACAAAGAACATTTGTGTGTAATTAAGTCATTACTTAGATTCAAATTCACATATACCATCTGTGCATGCTAGATCTGCACCTCTTCTGTAAGAGAACAGAGTATTTAAACACAGAATACATTCTGGCATAAGATGAAAAGACATTTCAGCAAATATGCTTTTATGTGTGTGATCAGGTATGTCCAAGAAATAATTCAGGTCCTTGGGAACCTACATCCTCTAGAATGGACCTGTGACACATTACAGTGATTTCCTGCACTGGACATGAGCTCAATGAACACTGCCTGTTCATTGAGCTCAGGATGGAGCATCACTTTTTGAGTGAGAGCTGAGCTTCTCCAGCCCCTGCAATGCTGCAAAAGAACACTGTGGTGAGGAAGCAAACAATCAAAATTTAACTTTCAGCTAGGATATAAACCCTTTCTGTTGCATCACTTAAGAAACACAAACAAAGGATATAAAGTTACCATCAAGTGCAGTGGTATTTTAGTTGGTCCTTTGGCAGAGATTTTCTCCCACAGCCCCCTTCGCACGTACCGGACAGTGGTGCCTGCGATCTGAAACTCACCAGGAAGCTCAATTTTCCAGTCGCTGTTAATGGATCTCTTACTGGAATCTTTTAAAGCTGCAATGAACCAAACACCATGGAATGAAATGCAAGCAAATTTGTAATTACAATACAGACTACTGAGCCTTTGTCTCAAGGTGCCTCAAGCACAAGATGCAGAAACCTTGTAATGGATGTGAGTTTAAAGGAATAAAACTTCTCCCACTTTTAGATGGCCCATTGTGATGTTTCTGACTTGGATATATTCTGTACTTTAGCTGATGAAGGTATTTTGAAGAATTAACATAAAATTCATAGATCATTTACCTCTACACTCTCCTTTAAAATGCAACAAGACAAATCTGCAATTTGGTTTCCAAGCAGAATTTTCTTTCAGTTTCCAGATTTTGAGACCACATTTTCCTAAACTCTCCTTGAGAAAAAGAGCAATCCAATCTTTGTTGATACAGTGCATACTGCAAATGCAATATACAACTGATGCTGTGTTTGTGTGTGCCCCATAACCAAACACTGAAAAAATTAACATTCAGCTGTCAGAGCTGTACAGAAAAGTTAAGTCACAAAGCAGGGGCAGGTCAGTGGGCAAAATGTGAACTTGGTCACCCTCTTTTCAGAGTCCAAGTGCTGGACACAAATGCATGAGGTCAGGTGCTGGAGGGTCTCACCCATCCTGCACCTCTGTGCCTCACTAAGGTCAACATGGAAAGCTCATCTTCAGAAGAAAGATGAATATAGAGGAGAAAAGATATTTGGAGTTGTGTGTCCTTTCTTCCAGCCTAACTTTTGCATCAGGATCACTGATGTCCTTCAAACACTCAAAGACAACTCCAGCCATAAGGGCATCACATTACTGTTGACTCATCAGTGGAAGCTGATTTAGGGATTGATGTGTTTTCTGTGTTAGAACGGAAGCAGAGTTATCCAGATGTTGGTGAGATGCACTGAGGGAAGAGAAAATTGGCAGACCCTGCTGCAGCAGAAAGTGCCAGGCCCCTTTGTGGAGATCCATTCACTGTGATCAAATCTGCCCTGACAGCAGACAGACAGAATATCCCACGTGTTACTGGGCTTCCTTAGTTCAAGGTTAACTGTGTCTTTTGGCTAAGCCTTTAACAAGATGTTTTTTTAACCTCTAGCATCTCATGCCTATTTTATTCTCTTCCAGTAAAGAACTTTGCTCTCACTTAACTGAGTGTGTTGCAAGAAGGAAAGAGAAGCTGTTTAAAGCCTTTGGAAGTCAATAGGAAGTCTCCTATTGTCATCCCTTTGGATCAAGCCTCCACAGCCAGCAAACCCTCCTGGGTGTGCCTAGGACATATATATATACATATATATATACATATTTATTTATTTATTTATTTATTTATTTTATTTGTGATGTCTGAACTCGGGGGAATCCGGAGCATGTGGAGGTCACAAGGTTCTCTGCATCTACACTAGGAACATTGGGAATCCTGGAAAAAGGTGGATATCTGTCCTGCTGCACACAACCTTCCTGACAGCTCTCAGAGTTCCAGCAGAGACTCCAAAATCAGGGTGAAGGGGAACTGAAGTGGGAGAGTATTTTTTCTGAGGAAAGTTTCCCCTGGCACACAGCCCAGGGGTAAGTTGGTGTCCTGGCATTTGCATGCTGCAACAATGTGTCTCTCCCTGTGGCTCACTTCTCTTTCTGCTTTGTCCCTCAGTTTACAAAGTACCTTCTTCAAGCTGCAGACACAATTCTGAAGCAGGATTGCTTTCCTCTGCCAAGACCTAGTGGCTTCCAGGCAGATGAAAGCTGTGGATGAGATAAAGCTATCTCCAAGCAGCATGGCTGACTAGGAAAGATAGTCCAGCATGTGCTCCAAACTGTTTAAGAGGTTGAGTGACTTAAGTCATGCTTTGGTTCCAGCTCACCATCAAAGGGAGACAATTTGCTGATGAAAACCAACGTTTCATCTTTTGAACCTCTTTTCTGGGCAGGGTTTGATTTTGATTGCAGGCACTGCAGCCCTTAGTGGCTGAGGAGATGGAGAATTTGGAAACAGACCTGTTCCCAAAGGTGCTCCTCGAGGATTGCAGGAATTGCACTGGGGAATGAGCAGAGCACTCGGGCCAAAGTGTTTTCATTGCTGTTTGCCTCCATTACTCCATCAGCAAGATCACTGCTGCAGCTACAAAACCTTCCATGTCTCAGACACAGGGAACTCCAATGGCTTTTGTCACACACAACCACTGGCTGTGTGCCCAGCCCCAGAGGTGACAGAACTAAACTCAAACTCATACAGTAGAAGAGAAGGAGGAATAGGGACCCCAGCAACAACCTGTAACTTCTGTTTTTCTTGTTGGCTGGAAGGCAGGAACTGACCAATCAACTTCTAAACCTGGCATCTAGTCAGATCTTTATTTCCACCTTGGGTCTCTGCAGCTTGCTTCCCAGCCTGTGGACACAAACTGCCCAGGCATTTCCTGTTCAAGGTGGTTTTTGAGAGTTACAGCCAGCCAAGGCAGCCAGCGTGGGTTGCCTGTAGGTGGAGGGAAATTCTTCAGGCACTGCTCCCAGCACATGGAATAATGATTCCAAATTATGCTGGGCCTCTTTCCAGAATGTTGTACCTGGTTCTGAGTAGAAATAAGACCTGATTGGACTCAGCTTTGTCAGTGCTATTGAAATACAAAATCCTTCCACACTCAGACCTGAATTTAAGAGTGATTGAGGTTTCTTTCTTGGTCATCTTTATTGCCCTACGGGACCCCCGTGCTGCTATTCTTCATCTCAGTTCAGCAAGGCTTTGGGTATCTTTTCTTTGTGTTGAGTGTTCCTTGAAAGAGAAAACCTTGGAAAGCTTAGAGAGGTTCTCCTGGCTCCTGACCATGAACCAAAGAGCTGAAAGCGCTAAAAGCTTTAAAAGAGCCAGATTTTTATCTATCTTTATGTGATGTAAACAGGGCCAGCTCCTGCTCTCAAAAATACACAATCTTAATCTTCACCACCCAGTGGGGAACCATCTGCTTTAGTCAAGGTTATGCTGTCTCAAGGAAGGGCAGTTTCTAACTCATGTAAGACTCTCAGTGCTCTGCTATCTGCCAAAGCTCAAATACCCTGTGCAAACCCCACCAAGACAAACAAAAAGCCTGGTTTCCAGAAGGCAGAGCACTTGCAAAACCCAAAGAAACACTGGCTCCCATTATTCCACCAGGCTTTGCTATGTCAAACATCTCATGTGTAGGCGGGATCCTGTGGCTAAAGCATTATGGAAACAGGAGCAGTGGTGATATTCCTTCCTACCAAGAAGTGGCACAAATGCCAATGGTTTTGATCAAAGGGCAGTTGAATGACATAATCTGCCCTCCTTTTTTCTCCTGAATCTGGAATGAAAGAGAACAAAAGCATCTTTCCCAGTGATATTACCAACTGCAGCAAGATCTCAAGACAGAGAATCAATAGCACTAAAGCTGAAACCCTGACACAGCCACTATGCAAACATTTTCAGCAGCATCCAATATTCCAGTGCTGGATATGAACATCTCCTTTTGGCTGGAGATGAAGAATTACCAGCAAAAGATGTAGAAATCAGAGACCAAGGTCTGAGCTTTGTTCTGACTCCCTGCATAGCCACGAGCAAGTTGCAACACCTCAGTTTCCTCTTCCACAAATGAGAGAGTGACAAGCTCTGCAATCCTCTCAGAGTTCCTTCCTCTCTGGAAGCAATTCCATGGCCATGAAGCTCTGGGACAATGTTGGGGTGTTTTTGGATCTTGGGCAATTTTCTTTGAAGCATCTGCTCTGCCACAGGCTTCCTGTGTAAATTCAGGGCTAATGGGGCATTAGCATTTCTGTAACTTGGACTCCCTAGAAGCAGATGGGGATAAAATCCTTTATCTATTGCACAGTAATGACAGAGACAGAAATGCCTCAAACATTGGACAGAAGAGGCAGAAGATCAGACTGACAGATCCTCAGTGTAACTGAGTGGCTGCACTTTACAAATGCCATTCTGACCTTTAATTTATGCAATGAGTAACTAACTGGACAACAAATGCATTGACAGACTGCCCTACAACAACCTCACATGCAAATCTTACCCATCAGCCATGTCTAAACCATTTTTTCCCAATAGGAAAAGGAGGAGTGGATGCCTGTTCCCCTCTAAAGGAATGCAGAAGTAGAAACCACAAGAGGATTAAACAATTTTTTTTTGCCTGATAAAATAGAGGCAAGTGGACTACAGGCTGCAGCCAAGCCCATCTCAGAATGCAGGATCAGGTCTTGGGTACAGCATCCAGTCAAAATGTGCTGCTGTAGGAAATGGCAGCAGGTTACTGAGGGATATCAGCTGCCCTGTCCTGCCTCTGCTTCAGACTGAGCTGGGCGCCTTCCTATCAGTACCTCTGCCATTCCCTTCTCTAAACACACTGTTCTCTTCCCCACTCCCTCCTGAAGTGCTGTGTGCTCCTGGCAGCCCTGTGCAAGCCACTGCCAAGTTCTGCTCAGGAACTCTTCTGTCTGTATATAAAAGTACTCTGTGGTCCTTCCAGGTTGCACAGGGACTGTAAGTGTCACATACTATCACATCACAAACATCATGAAACCAAGCCACAAAAGCAGAGATTGCAGCAAGACTCAAATCACCAATTCCTCACTTGCAGCAACAAACCTTACAGGTTGCTTAGAGAAGGGTCATTTTTAAATGAAAACAGAGCTGGATTTTAATTAAAACATTTTTACTTTTTTCTTTTTACCCAGAAAGCTGTGAGCAGGTTTGTCCTCAACCACTCTGATCCGCCGGGCACCCGCAGGGATCACAGCAGCTTCGATGTAACCTAGAGCAACAAAGAAGGGGTGAATGAAAGCAGGGCAGGGCCAGGATCAGCCATCCCATATCTCGCTGAGAAAAACTCAACTCCAGGCTCAGGACTGAGTGAGAAACACTCCAGATGAGATCCCTGTGCTGGCAGCCAGTTGTCACTGCTGTCACAGGCGTGGGCATGACTAACATATCAGCAGAAATGCATGAGTGCTGCTTAGCTGTGACTACAGACTTGTTAATTAGCTCTAATTAGATCTGCACCCTTTGAATCACCCTGGTTTTCCTGCAGTACTGACAGGGATGCACGAGGACACTGCAAAGTGTGACTGTCAGGAGCAACACTGCACAGAACAGACATGTGAGATGATGTTTCCAAAAGTTGTTTCTGCTTTGTCTTCCCTGTCCAGGCTGTGGTGTCAGAAAGGACTCACTTCCACAAAACTTTTTGATGATGCTAAAACTGAACAGAGGGAATTAGTGGGACAAATCTGGGGAAAAGCTTGTTTTCATTTACATTTCAGCTCTGTACAAAAATTCTGGAGGAAATAATGAATCTCCTTGCACTAGGGTGCTGAGAATTCAACAGCTCAGATTTAATGCAATAACAGAGCTGGGAGTTTCTCCAGGACTGACCACTGGCCACCTCTAAACACTTTTTCAAAGACCACTTTTTACTCACAGAATACAGTATGAATAAGCAGGAGCTACAAGGAAATGCAGCCTTTTTTCCCCCAGTATGGAGACATGTGGAGTTACAGAGTTGCTCCATGGGGTGGAAGCGGTGCCTTTAAATAATGAAGCAGAGGAACACCAGGGCCCATTTCAAAGAGCCAGGCAGTTTTTCCTCTGGCCTTAATGGACTTTGAATCAGGCCTCTGTAGATGACACTAATCTCATCACAACCATGACTTGATTCCTTCTAATTGGCCACCCAGTTTACTTTGCAGTGTATCACTTGGCACCTTTTTGGGGTTATTGCTGTCCTCTTTCTTTTAGATGTTAAGCAGCTTATCCTGTATATTCCCTCATCCACTTTTCTTGCTTTAAAGGGCTCTGTGAAGATGTTGTGTGTCAGTGATGCCTTTATGGGAATTGTGTCTGTCTAGAGCAATGGCTTGGAGAAGTGCTGGCACAGGGAGCAGTGATTCCTTTAGCACTTAGCAGTGTTCAGGGAGCTATTTTAGGGATGAAAGTGCAGCCCTGCTTTTGCTGTGCTGATACAGGGAGGACTCTAAGGGGTATGGTGACAATCTCTTGCACCTCAGGACTAAGTGATTCTCCTTCCATTGTGACATGGAGTGAGACAGATTTGGGGTCTCAGATGGTGGATTCATTTCCTGACTATTCATTTCATGAGTAAGGCTTGAGCTCTTGGGTTTCATCAGGTGCAGAAAGCGGGCAGCTGACTTGGGCCAGACAGACTCTCTCTTTCCCTGATTGTTGTATTTGAATGACACTTTCATCTCACCCTTCAGCTCAGTTCTCTTTGCACTTGTTCCTCCTCAATTACTTCTCCCTTACTCAGGATATGTCAGAAATGGTCACTCATCCCTTGCAGGAAAACCAGAGAGAGGGGCAGCAGAGCTCAGACCTTGTCTGTGCACAGAAGCCAGAGCAGAGGCTCTCCCAGCTGCTGTTCCAGCCTGGGTTTCACCAGGAAAAATCATTACTTCCAGGGTCAATTTTACAAAGGCAATACGGAAATCTGTTATGAAATCAGAGCAAACAGATGTTGGGCTTCATCCTAGACATTGTCAGGAGTTGGTTTTTCATCAGCTGAGATACCAAATCACAGTCAATACAGTCAGATATCAAACATCCCCACTGCACCCCATGCAGCTGCATATAAACCCAACCAACAGCTACTCAAGACATGAACACACAGCAAAAGTGTGACCAGTGAGAGTCTGTCACAAGGAAATAGCTCCTGATACACCCCAAGCATCCCTGTTAGGAAGCCAGTTTGGAACATGCCCAAGTTTCAGGTAATTTAATGTACCTACTAGGGGACTATTCACTTATTTAGTTTTTAAACCAGATACAAATGCCCGGAGCTAAATCATGCAGGGGTTGGAGACAAAGTTACTCTGAATTCAGTGGAAAGCAGTCACTAAGTTCAGTGAACTCTGGATCTGTCCCAGTAGCAGCCAGGAGTGTGTCACACTGCTTTAGAGGTGAGCAAACTCTGGAGGCTTCGCTCAAGCCATTAAATACACTCATTTCATCACTGTGCCATGAGACAAACACCACGTGGAAAGGTGATTTTTATGTTACATTTTACAATAGTCAAGTGTGAGCTATTAATAGAGTATTAGTTCTGGAGACTGTTTGGCTTGGTCTCACACCAGATTTTTTCTCCTTGTGTAATTTCTAATCCTGATTGATGGCTTTGGGGGGCTGCACTCACAGCTCCTGAATAAAAAGAAACACACTGTGTTATCTCACTATGCCACAAACCTGACTGTTGACCTTCACTCTCCTGTTAGAGAATTGCCAAATGCTTTGCAGGGGTTTGGATCTGACCTGTCCTCTCAGAGGTGAAGCAGAACCTTGGGCATGTCCCACCAGGAGCACCTGGACACTCTCATTCACTACCTCCAGCAATGCTGGGTGAGTTAGTGGTTGAATTCTGCTGCAAACAGACTTGATATCACCCATGCAAATTTGCCACAGGTACAAACTTGGATCACCTCCACCATTCTACTCTGGTCCTCAGAGCTGGTGGGAGGCTTGTGGTCACAGATTCCTGATCTTTGACATAACTGCACCAGGAAACACCTCCAGTGTTTTCCAGGCACATTTTATTAAGCAAATTGTAACTGCAGATTGCCAGAAAGATTATCAAGTGTCAGCCAGAATGACCAGAAAAAGTCTCAGAGTTGGCCCCCAGTCAAGGACTCTCAAAGCTCTGTTAGGTCTAAGGATAATTGTCTGCAAGGCCAGGGTTTGCAAGGTTGGGCTTAAAGTTCATCTTTAAATGAGGAACTGGTTAAAGACTGATGAGCTTTGGCATCTATCAGGCAGTATTTTTAGTAATTTCACCCATAAATCAGCGTGTTAAGATGAAGCTTTGAAAATACAACAGGAGAACTTCATTATTTGATAATTTATGGTGCTCTATGCAGTATACTCCACCTTGGGAACAGTTACTTTGGCACACACCAATCTTTCTGGATAATCTGCATTACATCAGTGTCTCAGGAATGTAAGACTGTGATTGAAGCAAATCCTAGATACAAGTTTTATGGTATAACTCGTATTAGGAGAGACACCAGAACAAAGAGGTGGCTTTGTCATCAAGGAGATTAATATGTGAACAGTGGCTACTGTATCTTCATTTAAATGCTGGAGAGATTTGCAAGAGGAAAGCAGCCCACACAGAAAAATCCATTGTTAGCCATTGTTATTACTCCCAGAAAGAACAGAAAGTTTAGTGTGAACTTCAGAATGCCACTGATCTACTGCAGAACTGTTCTGGTTCACACTGCAGTGAAAGATGGACTCAGAGGTGAAGGACAAATGATCCCATGGCTGAAAGTACCAACCCCTGGCACTGCACCTTCCTATCTTATCCCTGTACACACCAAAATCAGGTGTGAGAAGGTCAACAGTGCCCAGCCCATTATCAAACCTCCCAAAAGTGCTTTGAACAAACATTTCAGGGTAGAAGCCAAGGAGATCAGGCTGTCCTGCCTACCTGCCAGCCAGGGCCAGCAAAGCTTCCATGGTACTTCAGGGATAGGCACCAGCTGAGCATCCCAGACTCCACCTCCTTCCCACCTTGCAGCTTTTGCTGATTTGCTACTTGTTGCAGTGGAGTGCAAATTATGTGTCTTTTTTCTGAACAGCTGTGATAATTCTCCTTTGCTTTTAGTTTGAGAACAAATCCTGCATTGGCACCTGTCCACTTCCAGCCATGGGATAGCTTGGTTGTAAGAAAATCATTTCTCTGAAGAGCCATGGATAAATTTCAAAGCCTTCTGCAATTGCTGCAAAGTTGGTAACTGGGATTTCTAACTTGCATGTTCTGATGAAACCCCCATAAGTGATCTCTGAGTTAAAGATTAGGTAGAGTTCTATTTTCTTGTAATTTACATGTGCACCCTATTGATAAAAAAAGATATTTTTGTGTTGGCTAAAGATGCTCCCAGCCAGCACGACAGCACTACTGTTCAAAATTCTTTTAGTAAGTGCAGGACAAACAGCATATGCAATAAAACCTCTACATTTCTACCATCTTAAAAAGTAAAATTCCTAGCAAAGGTGTACTTTTCCTTTCCCAAAATGACAGTTACAACAACTGGCATATCTCACCTTATTAGATTCTGCCATTAAAAAAGAAAACCCAAACATTTGTGGTCATTCCTTTGAATTATAACCATAAATCCTTCTGAATTACAATAATAAATGAAAATCTTGATGTGGTTGAGAAAAATCAGGAGAGACAGACCCAAGTCTCTGAGCATTACAGGCACAACCTTGGAGAAGTTGTCAGTGATAAATCAGCTCCCCAACAGACAGGAGTCCAAGAGCTGTCCTTCATTTCTAGGTCCCCTGTCCAGTGGCAGAGTGACAGAGGTGAACTTCAGAACAACTCTGTGTTTGGTTTTGAAAAATTATTTTGTAGAAATAGGTACAAGGCATGCTGCCAGTCGAAAGGAAACCTCAGTCTAAACAGTGCATTCAGCTGCCCTGCTGAAGACAGCCAGCTGCACTCAAGTGTATGTGATGCTTAGCATCATAAATTAAGGCTTTTGACCTCCTCTCCAGCAGAAAATTGGGGTCCATTTCCAGTTGGATCACCCTGGATCACAGGTGCTAAGAGCTGAACTGCTGGATCTCCTACAAGGCACTTTGAATGTTCCACCATCTTTCCCACCAGGGTGGCAGAACCTCTGTGATATTTAAGTTGGGAGAAAAAGGAAATAGATCTGGTTCTGTTTGCTTGGTGCATGAGAACCTCTGTGATATTAAAGTTGGGGTAAAAAAGAAATAGATCTGGTTCTTTTGGCTTGGTGCTTGAAAATTTGGCTTCCTTTCCACAGATATGTTCCTTAAAAGGAAAGGATCTGTATTGTATCTCTGACAAGGCAAGTGAAACAGTAAAAGGACTTGAAGCTTATCCATGGCTTTTGATAGCAAATTTCCCCATCTAATCCGACAAAATGAAGATAAAGGACCAACACCAAAGGATTTCACCGACACCCACTGACACTGCAAACAGCATTCAAGTATCTTACACGAGAAACACTTGGGAACAGCCTTTGCCTTTGCCATCACACATGTGGAAACCTTCTTACAATGACTATTGGTTACTAAGAAACAGAAAGGAGTTGGCAGGGGTTTAGTTCAGTTCACAGGGCTCCACAGCATCATTTGCAATCACAGGACACAGAGGGACCAATCCTGCAGCCAGAGGAGTCCCACAGGCAGAGCCAATGCTCAAGGCTGCAGCTGCAATTCCCCAAACAGATATCACTCCAGAAGAATCAATGTCTTGATGTTTGAAGTCTATTCTCTTTTGAAATAATAACTCAGCACACTGGACTTGGGGTCTTGGCCTTGACTTAGAATGCAGCCAGATCATGAGGATTTGCCACTGAACTGTGCAATCATTTACACACCCAAACCTTGAACTTGTTATCACCAGAATACTGTGGATCTTTCTTTGCCCCAGCTTCCATCAAATTTTTGCACATTTTTGCCTAACTGTCAATTTAAAATAAAAAGCCTTTTTTTCCCTTGAGTAATGCCACATTCACTTGTGATACCCAGACCTGGAGCTTTGCTTACTGCATGAAATTCAGTGGGTTCACCTGAGGACCTGATTCTGTAAAACAGCATGTGAACAGAAATGGATGGAAGCACACATAAAATGTAACTGACTTTCAAAATTAAATTAAAAATAAAACAAAACACCTAATAAATGTTTATGAGGTTATACTGGTAAAAACAATTATCTTCTAGATTATGTGAGATGGCTAAAGGTGGAAACATTGCACTGACAAAGCAACACTTTGACAGGTTTGTGTGTCTGAGATGATCAGCAGAGAATCTGAATGCTTGAACACTGCTCATGAGTCATCAGGAATTCTTTCTGATTAGGTTCCAGGGCACTGGGGGTGAAAACCTCCTGCAGAGTCCTGGCAGCCAGTTAAGGCTGAAGCTGCTCTGCTCCTGCAGCCTTGTAAAGTCACCACTTCAAGCAGTCTGTGTAGCTGGAAATGGGTGCAACCTCCTGGCAGTGACCCTGAAATTCTGTATTTATCTGCACAAGATGTTTCATAGACTCCTTGGAAAAAAGATAGCTACTCTTCAGCAGCATGTAAGAAATCCATGAAAGTTGTATAAGCTGCTACAGAAATGGAGAATAGCTGGGGTTTTTTCAATGGAAATGAGGAACTTTTCCCACCACTTGCATCAAATGCAAAAGACTTGATGTAAGTGGGAAAATAATTGGGACAAAAAACTCAAAGGCATTAATGCAGGAAACCATTCAACAGGTTGGCCAAGCAACAGGATGGACTCCAGAGAGACGTGCTGCAGGTGGGAAATCCTACCTGCATCTCACAGGAGGTGACAGATTCCAGCTGGCCCCACAGGTGAGGAGGAGGAGGGTGCAGAGGAAGAGGTCAGTGAACAAAATCAGAGCCTCAGACTTCAGAGCTGAGGCCTGGACTAAAGGGAGCTGCTAAGCACTGCTGCTGCTTTAGCCTCTAAACTGGACTGAAGTGTGTGCTTAGAGGGGATTTTCATGTGCTTTGTGGAACTCAGCCCTGGAGCAGCACATTGAATGTGTTTCTCCATACAGAAATGCCAGTTCTGTATTCACTGAATGGGAAATAATTTTTTTTCTGGACAATTGTTTCCTCCTGGAGCAGCTTCCAAGTCTGGACATGGCTTTCTCTCCCTTTGGCTAATAAGGATGTGTGATAACAGGGTTCTCAGAAGTGTAGTACAGAAACCCTGGAACAAAGACTAATTTAAACACCAAGCTGTACATACATTAATGTTTAACAAGAAAGGGAAAAGTCTTATATCCTATACTGGATATTTTTGCTGGCAGGGAATCAGTAAAAATATTCAGAGGGGAGTGCACTGCTCTTTCCTTTAGCTGAGATATTCTGATTATAACATGAATCATCTACAACATGCAACATGCATCATTCTGAGACCTCAAAGATGGTGCTGAAATCCAACTTCCCTCCCTCTGGGAAAGATTCTGTGATTTTGTCTCCTATTTAAATCACCAGCATCAGTAGCACTCAGAAAGAGAAACACAACTTCAGTCTGAATTTCAGGCAGAGGCAGTGGCTGGTGTCTGGGTGAACGAGTAAGACGCAGATGGGATATCACACCTGAAGTGAGTTGGGGTTTGTTTTGTGTTCCTTAGGAGCTTCCTAGAGCTGTTTTTGCTAGATGACCCCAGTGCTATCCAAGAGGAAGAGCTGTTACTGCTGCCCCAACTCTCCTCCAGCAGGCAGAAGAACCCCAGAGTGTTACTCACCCATGCCCTTGGTGTGGTTGAAGTCTCCTTTCACCACCTTGCAGGTTTTCCCATCTCCACTGCAGATCCCACAGCGATCCTCTTTGGCAGCTGAGCCAATGATCCCATCACAGCCAATTTTCTAATGACAACAACCAGAGACCCCCATTACTTTGTTTGCAAGGTCAGAGCATCTCTAAACAATGAGGTCAACACTAAGATTGACATTGACTGGAAACCTGAATGGGGACAAAACATTCAATCTTAATTAAATTTTGAAATACCTGAAAAAAGACCTCATTAATCAGATGGCTCAAGATAGCTGAAATGAAAGAGTAGTTCAGTGGAAGCAGGTCAGTTCCATATCAGGCCAATTTCTACCACAAGATTGCCTATGCAATTATGAAATTTTTCACATGCTTGCACTGTACTAAGAATCAACATTCAATTGAAAAATAAATTATAAAATCTAACAGTTTCACCTAAAGCTTCATTATAAAGGGTGTTTTCATAATTTTCTATATATACCTATTTCTTTTTTCTAATAAAACCTGCAGTTCTGCTTCCACACAAGGGAAGAGTCACAATATTCTCCGTGTAGCTATGGGAATTATCACCATGATCTTCCTTATTTACAAAGCATTCATGGGTTATGATGGTGAACATTCCACTCTTGTAGATCTTGAGGCTGACAACACTGTCATTAATCTATGTAAATGAATCTTGTATTCTGTCCATGTAAGACCCTCAAATTGATCAGCAATTCACTCTTAAAACATAAATTTCTACTGAAAAAACCCTTGTCATTATGCAAGTTATTAGTAGAGATTGCACTATTAAAAGTGAGTTTAAGATTTATTCTGCATAGATAAACAGTTTCTTGGCAAATGAGTAGCAGGACTGTCACTAGTAAGACTTATTTGAATGAGGCTATTGGGTCTCTCTCTTCTTTGCCTTCCTGTGATGAAGCCAGAGGAAAGTTGGAGAGATATCTTAGGGAACAATCAAAACAACAAACATTTTGAAAAATAGGGTAAGCAGGGAAATATTAGGAGAACTCGGGCTGTTTATGTGAGCCTGGCTGTGTGTAAGCAATGCAATTTGGATCAGAATTCCAACATTCCCCTTGTTTCAGAAGACCCTGGCCACTGCCTCAGTCCAGATGTATTTCAGGGATCAAAGATTGCCAGTGTTCCACCGTGTGCTGATGCAGAGCTTGTCTGGGTAGATCATTAGGGACAGACATGCTGAGAGAGGGTGATCATCCTAAACACATACCAGGGAAATGCTGCTCATTAACTGGCACAGCACCTACACTGGTGCACAGGAACAGCAGGAAAAAACTGTATAAATGCATAAATGGGAGTTAAAAGAAGGAGGAAGAAGAAGATCCTGGAGTTTCTGGCAGTTGCAATTCTCAAGCCTGAACTTCACGCCCATGTACAACAAATAATTTTGGGATATTGAACGTGATTCTGCCCCCAGAACAGAAGGATGTCCCAGCAGTTCTCCTTCCAGGAAAATCAGGATGATTTATTAATGGGGTTGCTGAAAGGCAGCTGGAAATGAACGCCTGCCTGCCACCCTGCTGAGATACTGGAAAGGCTGTGTTTAATTTAAGGCTCTGGTGCTATCTTTTATTGTGCTGCATTGTTATTAGCACTATGTGAGCACACAGATGAATAAAGGGAACATAATGAGTGTTGAACCACACTTATTCCCAGAGCTACATGAGGAGTCTGTAGGACTCTAACAGAGGCAGGGAAAGAATGGGGAGTTGGCAATCACATGCTTTGTATTTACGCTGGAGTTTCCCAGATAATGGAAACCAGTGGGAGCCAGCAAAGCTTGGGAAGGCTGGGTCCCCCCTCATCTGAGACTGGGGTTCAAGACAAGCCATTTCCTCACACCTTTACTTGCTCACTGACACCCTTCCACTTGAGAGGCCCTTGAGAGGCATGGAGAGAACCCACTGAATCCACAAACGTAACTCCCAATATCTTTGCTGGCTTTTCCCTTTCATCTTCACCCTGCTCCCTGTGAGAGAAGGAACTGGGAATGGCCCTTGCACCCTTCTCTTCAATGGTACCATTGTTCCCATTCACAGGGCAAACCTTTCCCTCAATCCAGGCCTTGAGACTTAAGGCCCCCATCACATTTGGGCCAGGAAATGGCTTCTTACAAAGGAATATCTCTAAGAGAATAAAATACTTTTTTCCTTGGCTTCAAGATGAAAATTGGTGCATTCTTGCTACTTTATGGGGGAAAATACCTTGGAAGCACTTTAGTGTTGTCTGCATAAATATTAGAGCCCGTTTCCCTCTCCCCAAGCCTTCCAATCACTTCCAAACTGAAAGTGCATTTAATAAGAGTACATTTAATAACAGTACATAATGAAACAGCTTTGGGTAAGATTTGACAGTGGATTCCAAAAGCTGCAAAGTCATTTAGAAACGCATTGCAGTGACCACCTTGGTGACTCTGATCCTTTGAGAACTCCCCACATGGAAAATACTCTTAAAACCACCACCATGGCCACTCTTAAAACAAGTAGATCAGTGGATTAAAGGGGAAGAGACAGGACTGGAAGGGCAGAACACAGTGGCTGTCACCTTTGTGGGTGCAAAGCACCTGCCAGCAGCCCTTGGGCTGTTAATTGAGAGACTTTCCAAGGTGTGAGAGCTCCTGAGACTCCAGCACTGGCTGGAGAAACTATGCAGTGTGTACATCAGCAGTTTCCCACTGAAAACATGCTCTGTGTATTATACTGCCCATCCTTTAACTACAGAGCTGTCCTCAGCCTGCAGAAAGCTTTCCACAATGTGAAGCCTTAATTAACCATATGCAAAGCGAAAATCCCAAGTTTCACTGCTCAAAAGTCAAGTTTCCACAGTGCAGAAAGTATCCCTTAAAACTAAATAGTTCAAGGGAATTGTTTGATCTTTGCCATCTCTCACTTGCTTTGTGGTGCTCCCTGTCCACTCCAACCAATCAAGGTAATGGGATTCAATAAATTTAGAAGCAGAAAAGGGAACCTTTACATTCTGAAGATTCTGTAAATAACAATAACATCCCATGTTTTCTGAACCAAGAGTTATCCTGCAGATGAGCAGACTGAGCCCATGGACCAGCCCATCCAGCAATTGCTGGATACTTTCAGTTCCATCAGTCTTCAATGGACTGGTGAGAAGGGAAGCAGCTTTAAAGCATGGGACTGCTGGCAAGAAACATGAAAATAAGTCTTTTAGGGCTTCAAGTCCTCAGCATGGACAGTCAGAAATGTATCCACAGGTTTCTTAGGGCTCTTCCACCCAGGCAGTCTCCTGCTCTGGCACCACACTTTGGAACTAGCCACCAACCTTTAAATTGGCAGGTAACTGCACGTTTGCCGAGCCAAAGGCCTGAAATTAATTCTCTTTAAGCTGATATCTCCATCCACCCTTCCTTCCCTCCCTCCTCCTTCTTCTCATTTTTATAATTAAACATCTGAAAGTACTGCTTGTTGGGTGGTATTTCCAGCTTCAGTCATAGCTGGCTCCAGCATAGGAAAACTCTTCTCTTTTGAATACATATCACTTGGATTCTTCTGTGTGAACTATTCTCTGTATTGCTTGGGTATTTTTTAATGATATTTTTATTTGTATTTTCAATGGCTGTGAAAGAGCTCAATTGATACAGCTTGTGAGGGTATGTTTTGCTACATAAACAAAATTATTTTTGTTATATACACCCACTCTGTGCAAGAAATGACATTGTAGGCTCACAAAACTGTAATGCTTCCCATATGCTGAACTAACTGGCTGTCTCAATGGATCAAATATAAATATTGATGCAACATGTGCCACTTTACAGATTAATCATGTACAGAGCAGGCTGGTTATGACAGATTCATCTACACTGCCAATTCCTTCTGTCCATAATATCCAATGCCATTGATACCTCCAGGGATGGACCACATGAAACAGGAATGTACAGATGTGAGCAAGTGACATTCAGATCTGAGGGGAAGAGAATTCTTATTGCATTGTTTTAAACACCTCTGCCCCTGTGGAGGGTTGTGGGGGCTGTCAGGGCTGGGTGAGGTGAGTCTGGGTCCCTGATCAAGCAGTTCCTCTCTGAGTTACTCCAATTTCTGTTCCACAACAAGTTTTGTGCTAAGGGTTGGAGTCCCTGTAGGAGTGAGTTCAGCAAATATCTTCCTGTCATTTCCCAAGCCTTCAGATTCTGTCTGAATCAGAGCAGCTCTGCAGGATCAGGAGTTAGACACATCCTATTTTAAATCTGTATTATCTCATCTGCATTAGATCTGCAATGTGATCTGCCATTGACTTTGTGCTTAGATCCCTCAGCAGCTCATGGGGGTGTTAGACACAATAATTTATGATTTTTCACACTTAGATATTGAAGGCTATGTGTCAAAACCTCTGTGTTCACGAGAGAACATGCAAATAATGAAAAGTTCTTTCCCATCCCAGGAACTCCTTTGCTTCTGTTCTATTATATGCTTTCCATGGGATAACATGGAAGAAAAATTGGGGAAACAGCATGGGTTTTTTGTTTTTCATACCCCACTGCAAAGTACACCACAAACTAGTAGGATATTGACAAAGACTTGGTTTTGTCACTATGCCTTACTCACCAAATCCCTGATACTCTTTTAAACCTCAGATTACATTGCTACAGATCCAGACATGAAAAAAAAGCAAAAAGGCAATTATACAACAGGTTTCTGCAGTTCAGACAATCCTTCTGGATTTTGTGCACATGCACTAAATAATTTATCAAAGTTCAGTGCTAAGCCAAGTTGTTGTATGGAGACAAGCTACCCAGTCTGGAACATCTTGTACCACAGTTTGTAATGCAGGAATATGAATAATACATGGAAAATACTCAAGTGAGGAGACAAAGCCAGAACTCCAGGCATCAATCAAATGCAAAAAGTGGGTACTAAGTATGTAAAAACCTGTTTGCCAGAAGCAGGTCCAGTAGAAAACTTCAATTTCTCCTCTGCCACCTGTGGCACTCTCCTGACACTCTGCCTGTCCAGTTTACAGGAGCTATTTTTGAAAATCTGTCCATTTTCCAATTTGTGCTCCCCTTTCATAGAGTGTGACAATCACTTTCAGAAGAAAATAGCTCTGTAACAATTCTGTTGTGCCAGGACAGCCTAATATGTGGCTTATCCTCATTAAACACACTGTGGATTCACCAGCCAGTTGAAAGGAGGTGTGATATGACAAAACATTCATGAGAAAATTGCAGATAGAACCAAAACATCTTCACCTCTTAAATTGTTAAATCACAGCAAAGACTGCCCTTGATCTCTAGCCCAGTTCTTGCTATACAGGAGGTGTCTCTTTTCACAGAGACCTTAAATTACATCCTGAAGCACAATCTGTAGTCCCCACTGGAAAGTTCTCATGCTGTCATGAGGCTCAGACTAATCCTCCTTTGAGAAAAGCCAGCACAAGGTCATGTGCATCACACCAGTCAGCTGAGCAGCTTGTCTTCTCCTCACTCCTCTGCTCTGTGACATCTGACACTTTTTTTAGCTCCACTTCTGCCAGCAGTTTTGAATTAACCTCAGCAGCACAGAGCAAAACACTGCAAGGGGTTAGAAAGTGCCCTGTTCTCATGAGTGTTCTCTCATCAAACACACACCCCCAGGCCCAGGGAAGAACAAGACCCTCAGGGAATCCTCTCCCTGAAATCCATTTGTCACTTGAAGAGAAATGCGAGGAGATGAACCCAGTGTGAGGTGCAGGTTGCAGTGCCCTACCCCACCTTCCCCATGGCTGCAGTGCCCATGAGAGGGAAAGCAAATTGCTGCAAAGCCTAAATGAGCACTCACCCTCTTCCTCCTCTTCCAACACATCAGGCTGCTCTTGTTCTCCAGCCTGCTACCGATTTTCTGTCTCTGAAAAAATCTCTGAGGAAAATAAATTCTCCTTGCTAGAAGACCATGTGCATTTTGAGGATGAAAGGTCAAAGACCTACATATGCTTTGAAGAGGGGATCCAGTTTGCTCAGAGGATGGTAAGAAATTGTGCATTTGAAATGTTCAGCCTCAAAACCAACTCAAATAAACAAGGAAAAAATAAATTAAGACCTTATGATTCATCTCAAAAACAAGGAGTATGGCTAGAAAAAGTCTAGGTGATTTAGGAACCCCCACGCTAAATTTAGGGCTGACTTAGCTCTTTGGTGCTTCTATGCATGATCAAAGTAATAACCAAGTTTACTCACTCCAGCTGCCTTCAGGTGTAAGGGATAAATGCAGAGATGCTGCTGCTTTTGATGATTTTGTTTCAGGGATAGTGAGGCTGACAGCAAAGGCTTCATTGACACCTTTTAGATTGGGGTTCAGCTTTAAAGGGAAACTGTAGTAACTTCACAAAGTACAACTGAAGGAAAATTCCCTTAGTGCCTAAATGTATTTGGGACACTTTGAGGCTTCAGAGAATCTGTTCCTGCTTTCCTTCTCAAAACCCTCCTCTCCTTGCAACAGTTTTTTCTCTACATTCATTCATCATCCAAGAACGATCCACGAGCTGCATTTAGGAGCATCTAGTGAAGGGAGAAGATCTATTACATTTCCTGGGCTAGATGTTCACAGGCAATGGTTACTGCTAATTTGTCTGTTGCACTGACAATGTGTCATTCCTGCCTTTGAGAGCCTCTAACTAGAAGGATTACATAAGAAAATAAATAACAGTAATACCACCCTCTGATTTCAGCACTTATTCTGTTCTCCAGGCCCCCTGCAATGCTTATTGCCAGGCTTTGTCTGTGCTGGGTAAAGAAACAAGGAGAGGAGTAATTAAATGAATATGGCAATTAAATTGGTTTAATAGGCAGCTAGTTAGACAAGTATCTGTGGCAAATGGGGTACACAGGCACATATGGCAATTCTCAGCTCTGCACTGCATATATGGCAGAGGAGTATTATAAATGAGTTCACAGGGCTTTCAAATCTGCTCGGCTTGAACTGATCATTTCACATTTTTTCTCAGCCAGATGCAAATGGACTGAATGTTCTGCAGCTGTCATCACCTCTCTGCACAGTTAAAGGCAGTTGCCCCCGACTCAGAGTGCAATTTGCTTTTCGTGATGTACCTCCAGTGCTCTGTGCTCATAAAGGAATTCATTTGGAGGGAGCTGGCTACTGATCCTCCCTGGATGAAAAAAAGGTGCCTTGCCATGATGTCTGATTTACCATTTGTGGCAGTTCTGAAGGTTTGGAGCAATAAAACTGGCCAGCCCTGAGTAATGGTCAATGGCACACAGCTGGAGATGCACAGCTGGCCTGACTATAAAAGGTTATTAATGGGTTTTTGTTTTAGCTTTTTTCAGATATTGCCAAAAACTGGGAAAAATTAAGTAACTTGGGATGCACCATGAACCTGGCTCTATGTGCAAAGCACTTTGTATTATAAAGAATCAAACTAATACTGGCTCCCCAGACTGCTGCTATTCATATTCTTCATTGGAATAAATTAGAAAGAGTGAATTAAAAATGCCTCTTCAGCATCATTTGTCAAGAAACAGTGGGAAGTGTCTCCTGCAGCAGTGCAATATTCAATCCAAAGATTTTTCACTTCTCTCTTTGCATTGTTATTAGTAAAGCTGCTTTCTGCCCCCAAAGCCTCTCTCACACCCAGGTGGGTATTGTGTTCATTTATCTCCCTGCCTGGAAGGCTCAAAGCAATAAAAACTGGCATTTCTTAACCACTCACAGAAACCAGAAATAATGCCAGATTTGGTGTGCCCTGTGCCCCCAGGGCAAACCTGTGAAGTTAGTGGAAATAAAAGGTGATGCTAAAAAGCTGTTCTGGTGGATACAGAGGGCTGGTTAATACCAGGAAGAGCAACTCTTACCACAGGATACACATCTGGATGAGGAGAAACTTAAAGGGAAAAATTGCCAGGAAGAATCCAGTCCTGGCAAAGCTGCTGTAGCCAAGTGAACTGTCTTTCCCATCGCTGTGGTGTGTGCAGCACACTTTGAACACGTGCTCCATGATCAGGAGAGAGGAAACTCATGGAGGGTCTGCCCTGTCAAACTGACAAATTACATGAACCCATCATCAGGAGCACCCACTCCAAACAACTTCCTGTCTTTTATGATCTTTAAATACACATTTTCTCATCTTCCTTCCCCTGTCCAAACATTAAATCTCCATCTTATATGGGTCTACACACCTCTACTAAATTTTTGAGGAACCTGAAGCACCAGCTCTAAGAGCTGCCCTCCTTAGCATTCGATACATTACCAACTCTCTCAGCAAACCATGAAGTTTTATTACTTCCCACAGCTCATTTTGGGTGTGTGTGTTATTTGGTTAGAGAGAAATAATCACTGCAATGGTTATGGGCCACCACTCTAAGGAAAAGAGAATTCAGTCTGAAGACTCTGGCTCATGTAGCTGCAGGAGCCAAGGAGCCACTGGTACTGAAAGGCTTCCTCAGTATTTCTAAGAAGGAACCAGGTGGACCCAAAAGCATCATGATTCTGGCAAGATAATGCTGGTAACAGGCTAGTGACAATTGGTAAGCTGATTTGCAGCTTCAGTGCTTTTATCAGTGACTCCTCTAATAGCCAAAAAAGAGCAGTTAAGCAGGCCAGACTTCTCCTCCAATCTGCTCCCCTCACAGAAGTCCCTTCCCACCCAAGCCATGCACACAACAAAATGTGATTTTTGAGCATTCCCAGCTGTTCAGGAATAATATCATACCTTGGGCATTCAGCACAATGCTCAGACCAATAACAGAGCCATGGAGCACTTATAGTGAGCCCTATAAAACAGGGCTGTCCCCTCCCCTCAGGGACAGCCCCCCAGCCCCCAGCACGGTGCTGCCCCAGGCTGAACCTCACACCAGAAATAGAACAAGAGAAGGTTACTCCACCTGGCACTTGCCATGTACACAGAGGTCTGTCTCATAGGGCCCACAGGGAGTTCCATCCAGCACTCTGTCTGCCACCAGCACAGGAGAATCCTTGCCCAGTGGGGAGCAGAAGAGCTCACATGGCTTATCTGGGAAAAGAAATATGACAGCTGCCCTTGGGAACAGCACAAAAAAGTGTCTGAGGCAATGGTGATGCATTCTCTACATGAGTACATTTGGATATCTCATCTTTGAAGGAACATGAGGCTTTCAGTTTAGGCCTGCCACTTCCCCAGTTTAAAGTATCACTATTTAAAGGGTTACATTGATGAGACTGGGCTTTAACAGCACAGAAAACCAATCAGTCAATACAGTTTTGTGTATCTGTAAAGGGAAGATGTTTGTTACAGGGAACATTCATCAGTCTGATAAGAATGATCAAGTCACTCACCACATATGCTGAGATGCCCCAAAGTGTCATAAATTAAAATATGGCACAGGGAATCCACCTTTCTTTCCAGTTCCAAACTAACTGGAACTTTTCCACATTTAAATTCCCAGCTCTCTGATTCCCAGTCTGGGAATTTCAGACTGGGAATCAAGTTAAGGCACTTCTCTCCCAGCATTTTAAAAAGATGAGTAAAGCATTGACAACTCTCTGTGTTCTATTAAGGAGGCTAAAGGAACAGCAGGGCAGCATCAAGAACAATTAATTGTAATTAGTCTTTCAGCTGTAGCTAAAGAGGGCCTATTGCAGCCTTCTCACCAACAATGGAGCCCTGCAGATGAGAAACTGCAGCAAAAGAACAGTGAGGAATTACAGAGGGAGATGAAAAAAACTCACCATCCACGATGACAGCTGTCAGGAGGCTTTTCTTCTTGTTGGTGTACCTGTCGTGGGCCTGGCACTGCTGGTCCCTGAAGCTGGGCACCCCTTTGGGGCAGGGCAGGTTCTCACACACCGTGTGCTCCACGCTGGCTCCCCGGCAGTTCTTCCCACCCGGCCCTGGGCTGCAGTGGGGAATGAAAGCAGGGTCAGCACCAGACACCTGGAATGTTCCATCTTCCCCCTCCCACCCTTGCTTTGCCCCCTGCCTCAAACACTCCTGAGGATGGAGACACAGCAAACATCCCACCAGCACGTGACCTCCTTGCAATTCAAGTGCCACAGAAGCAGCTATAACCTGCACTGTAGGCATGGTATCCAGAAACAAACCTGTGCTGCAGATAACCTCCATCCATGAAATCCATTCCACACATTTGTTTTTTAAACATACAGGAAAGGCCACTAATGCAACATCAGAATTAAGCACCTGCAAAACTTAGCTGTTTTTATTTATGAATCCCCAGAGAAGAAGGAAAACTCAAACTGTCAGCAAGAGCCTGTGTTTTCTTTGCAAAATAAAACAAAATACAAATAAAAAAACACAGGTAAGCATGGAATCTGGAATTCCAGGTCCCAAGCCTTGTATTTATGAGCTCAAACCTGGGATTTCCAATAAACAGTGCAATCCAAGCCCCTCCTGGCCATGTCTGAAACAGTGACTGTGTGAGATATTCTGGTAGGCAGCCACCCTTCACTGTATTTATGGCAAGAGAATCCACCAACTAAGGGAACTGAAGAAATCAAAGTCCATTTATGCTGCTGTGACCCTTTTACATGACAAGAGGGGACTGGAGAAGAGATGTTCTGTTTAAGCCAAGGTTTTCTCCTCAGTCCAAAGCCTAGACAGGAACACAAGGCAGTATAACCCAAAAGTCTGCACGTGCAAACTGGCTTATGACACATTCCTTACAACCATGGGGAGGCAATGCATGTAAATGTTCAAAGAAATTACAGAGAGGAAAAACCAAATCAAACAGTGAAGCAACTGGTTTAAAAATACTGATAGTCCCACAGGCTCAAGAGTCAGCTGGCAGGAGCAGAGATTCCTGTAAAAAAAATCCCAAGACCAAATATATACAAAATAAAAGATAAATCCCTTAGCCAGTATTTCTGGACAGTGAATAAACCAGCTGCAGAAGTGGGCTGAGGCCAGGAATTTGAAGCAAGAGAAGATCACGTGTGTATCTCCAGCCAAGAATGTATATGAGCGAGAGAATTTTAAAATCAGTGTGCAGTGTTGGAAGGAGCATTTCCTGTAATTTAATGAACGACGATGAATGGATTTAGGTTTGGTCAGCACTGTAGCTGACAGCAAAGAAACCAGCTCAGTCCCCTCTTCAGGAAAATGAGCTGGTAAAAATCAAACCTGGATATTAAAGACATGCAACTGCAGCTCAGATAAGGAGAGCAATAAACAAAAATATCCTTTTCACATGATTACAGGTCAACAGCAGCAATTGTGAGCCTATCCATCATCTAGGCATGTCTTTGAAGTGACTGTGTTGCTATGCAGAATTTCTGCCCCAATTTAAAAAGAAAAGCTTTGGGTACTTTGTGTGTAGAAGAAAACATAAAATCTGAATAAAGTCAGAGAAACTGCACTTGGAGGGCTGCTCCCAAGGCTGTGAAGTTATAATAAACACAATTGGGTGGCCAGTTAAATGGCACCATTGTGACCTCTTCAAGACCCCAAAACAATGAAGAGACTTCCAGATGGGCCTCAACTGACCTGGGGGATGAAGGACAACACCTACATTTCATCCTGAATCAGAAAAAATCCAAGCCCATGCAGAGAGCATGGACTTGTTTGTAGTCACTGTGCAGGAGCTAAACAGCACCCACGGCTCTCTGCATGCATGAAAACCTTCCTGTTCTTATGCAGCACATCCTGACCTACAGAGCATCTCAAGGGGCTTTGCCAACACAGCTCAGGGACACTGATCATTGTCAGCCAATGCCCTGCTCCCCAAGCCCAGAGTAAGCACTGATCTCTAAGGCACATTGGCTCACTTTGGTTGGTAGACCCAGATCAGCCTCTCCTCATTCACTGTGGTGCTGGAGGGGAAACACAGCATCAGTTTTTCTGCCAAACTACATGTATCTAATTCAACTGTATCCACCTTTGAATCACTGCAGCGGGAAACTTCCAAAGGTGACCCTTCAGGCCACTTCCAAAAACCACTTCAAGCCACTCCAGGATTCCAACCTGGTCATCACAGCTTGTGAATGAGAAATTTCTCAGGGCTTCTGCCCAGCTCTGCTGCCCATTTCTCCCCTGTACTCCTGCAGCAAGGGCTGCCCAGGAGGGAGAAGGCTGCCAGCACGGCAGGAGGAGGCAGGATGGTGTGAGCACTCACGGGGGGTTGTCACATTTCCGCTGCCTGAAGCGCACGCCTGTTCCGCACGTCCGGCTGCACATGCTCCAGGGGCTCCACACGCTCCAGTCACCGTCCACGTGCTCAGGGATGGGGGTTTTACTGACACACTCCCCAGCTCGGCACCACTGCAAGGACACCACGTTAGCACAGCCTGGGAGGGAGCCCTCACCTTGCACAGGTGGCTGAGGGATTGCAACAAGTCCGCATTTAAGTTTCTAGGGATTCGAGGCTTTGGTGAGATGGCAGTAGGGGAAGGAGGAAGGGAGGAGGTGAAATGTAAAAGTTTAAATGTCACTCTCAGCAAGCCCCTGAAGGGGGTTCTGTCATTAAATAAACAATCACAGAATTGAGCCCCTTACTTTATAAAGCAGATAATTATCTAAGTACTAAGACTTAAAGCCCCACGATTCACAGCAACTGAGTCCAAGAAATTATACCCCAAAGCAATGCCTTCATCAGCACTGCTCCCAGTATGTACAAAATGATTGAAGTATTTTGGACTTAACTTGGCTAAAGCCCCAAACCCCTCTGATTCTAATAGGTTGTGCTGGCTCCTGACCAAGCAGCAAACTTGGCCTGTCCAGGATGTGACACAGTGAGCACAGCTAAGAAACCTTATGAAAGAGTCATCAGGACTCCTCCAGTTGGAAAAACATGGGCATAAAAACCTTTTTTTTTTCAGTTTCCTTGTCACGGTTTCCAGGACCCAGTTTTTCTTGTCATTGTTTATCTTTATCCTTGATTTCAGCAGCCAGCTTCTTATTTTTACCCTTTCTTACCTTCACAACTATACCATAGATTAAAAAAAATAAATTAGAGTCCAAAACCAGTAAATAAGGGGCTGAGAGTTACCAAACCAGTCAAGTTCCAAAAAACACATACATAAACAAATACAGCCAATTATACCTCAAAAAGAACAGAACATCACTGAATTTGAGCTACTTGTAGAAACTATAAAGTAGCCTCTTTTTCTTTCCCCATCTTCTGCACCTCCCCAAATGTCAGACTAAATGCTCTGCACACTTTCTACCTCAAATACAACCCAGAACACGACCAGCAATGGGTTTATGGTAAATACTGAACATCCTAGAAGCACTTTTCCCAATGCTGGGAAACAAGAAGTGACTGCTGCTGAGCATCCTGATTACCTTGTCTGCGCCACATTCGGTGCCATCCAGAGGGGGATCCAACTTTGTCTTACAGGATGTGTCTCCTTCCACCAGGCACCAGAGCCCAGCACACATCAAATGCTGTAATCACAAAGAAAGGAGGTGCAGTTATTACTTTTGGAAATGCCAGCCATCATTATGGGATACACTTCAAAGCTCAGGCAGTCTTTCTCAAGTGAATCCAGAGGCATCCAGTTGGTATGGGAGCAATTATTTTTTAAGGGTTGATTGGCATTAAGTGGTGAGGCTGGAAACATGAAAGAGATTGATGGATGCCACTGACAGGAACAAAACCTACCCCAAACAAAAGGTGTGCTATTTGAACAGATTTCTTTTCACAAGAATAAATCTGGTCCATTAGAAAGGAATCCTATATGGGAGGCCACGTTGGGTGCTTTGGACCATGCCAAATGCTTAGATGTCCAAGATACTTAATTACTGCTATTTTTAAAAAAATATACTGAAGTAACTGCAGCTGGTGGTAGCAATAATCAGCCAGCAATGCCCCTGGGAAGAAGGTGGAATGAGAAAGAGGAAAGGATGTCATGGTGTGCTGTACAGCAAAGGAGGAGCTTGGTGACAGGCAGGGTCAAAGACTGGGAATATTCTAGGAACATTCCCCAGTGCTGCTGCTCTGCTCAGCCAGTGTGTGCTGCAGGGATCTCAGGGCTGACCATAACTGTGACCTGCCAGATCAAAGCATCTTCAGAATTTAAGAAAAAGCACCAGGAAAAGGGACCTTTGCATCAGTAACATTTTCCACAGCATCCACCATGCTTTGCATTCCATGGAAGAGGACGATTCCAATACAGTGCAACATAGCTGAGTACCAGAAGAACAACAAAGAAGAATTACATTTCTTTCCACTATTGTTCACATTTCAATGTAATGGTAAAAAGATGAGAAACCTGACTCTAGTGCCAGCTGGTCTTGTCAAGATTTATTGCACCTCATTAAACAGTTGAGTCAACACGCCTCAGCCTCATGGTTCTTCCCCAATGTAATGTAAGAGACTGTGGGTGCATGTGTGTTTTGTGTACAGGCATGTTGGTATGTCTCTATAAAACACATCATGTCTCTATAAAATATATCTGTACAAGAGAGGGTGCAGATGAGATAAATCCCAGTCCCAGAGATGATGTAGATCATACTGAAACAAAACAGTTATCACAGCAGTATCTGCATCCTGCTCCATTTCCACATTTCTTTCTGGAAAGAGAATTTTCACTATTTAAACCCAAAGAACATTCACAAAAACTGGGAGCAGACAGCACAATTCAGCATCTGTATTAACCACAATGCAGAAAGTCATTGTCAAACAAACAACCAAACAACAGCAAATACTCCAGGGAAACCTAAATCAATGAATTTTCAAGAGATTTTCTCTGAACAAATAGAGCATATGGGAAAATATCAGTCTTTGGTAATTTTGACTAAATGACTGTGACTAATTAGTGGTTTACCCACAGCTCTGAAAGCACTTAAGCACCAATTAGCCATGAGGACATCACACACAGTTTTATTGACAGGTATAGAGAGGCAGAAGCATTGACAAGGCAGAGATTTCAGAGCTTACTGAGAAATTCATTGTTCCACCTCAACTCCCAGATTCTCCACCCCCTGCCTTCTGGAGAGGACTAAAATCAAGAAGTTCATCAATTAACCATCCATAAGCATTACAGAAAGAACACAAATCTAGGCAATAAACCACAGTGTCAAGGCACTACCAGCAAAACCTCCTTCCATACTGTGGCTGGGGACAATGTTGGTAAGTAAAATGAAGGGAAGCTTTGGAAATGAAAAGATGCAGACAGCAAGTATTTCCACTTTTCCAATCTTCAGCCCCTCTCTTGCAAATAACCACAAAGCTTCAGAGCAGAATGTGAGGAGAAACACTCCAGCCAGATCTCCTGAATGACCCAGACAGAAATTTTGCCCCCAGAAGGAAACCCTCTGCTTCTGCTTTCTGTCAGAGGAGCATCCTGGCTGAAGATGTGATGGAATTCACTACATCCCAGAAGAAGTTGTTCTAGACATATATGAGCACCATTGCTAAATATCTGTGCATTACGCAAGACCAGTGTTTGTTCAGCTTCAGGTCCCTGGATCATAACTGCATGTAATTTAGAGTTAATTTCTGCTCTTGGATGCAAAACTGGGAAGACAGAGTGGGTGGTGGTCGAAACAAAGTCATAAAAATGAAACAGCTTTTTTTTACAATTTTGGTTGGTAACTAGAATCCCTCCATAGCCCACAAGAACATGGAAGGTGATAAAGTCAGGTCACACATCCAAGTATGAGCCATGGCATGGGGAAGCAATGGGCAGAGATCACCTCAAAAATGTGTGTTTGTACCTGCAAAACAGCCCAGAGCAGGGTACAGAGGGTGCAAATATTCACATACATGTGGGTGTGGTGTGTGCATATCTATGTGTGTGTCTATGCCCACATATTCATGTATACACACACATAATTGTAGGGAGATAAATAAAGGAAATACCTCTCTCAGCAACACCAATCTTTCTGAAATCTCCCGCCTTCGAGGTATGGAAAACATTGGATTTTTATAGCATCCCTGTGTTTGATTCAGAATCCTAAATGCAAAGCATATTTCAGGAAACAGTTACAGAAAAATCTGGTAATGGTGCTGAGCTCTGTGTTTTGGTGCCACACCACTGCAAAGGCCAGGCCCTCGTTAGCCCAGTCCCCTGCATTTAAGAGTGTTCAGATACCCCAGCAAAGATGAAACCATCAGCTTTGGGATTGTATGTTCCCAAGATGCTTTATCATGTTAATAGCTCTGTTCAAAAGAGATCATGTATCCTCCTCAGCCACAATAGGAACCCAAACAAAACTCCCCATTAAACAGCAAAGCAGTCAGTGACTTTTTAATGGTTAAACAGCCAGCTTTGTGGGGAAATATCCAAGTGAGAAATGGCAGGACTTGACAGGAGGTTGTTGTATGTGAGTGGCAGCTCAGAGCTTATACTGATACAGAAGAAGCCATCAAAAGAACTGAATTAGTGCTAATTCTGCATTCAGCAACCAGCTTTCAGATGGCAGGTCCCTGCCTGCAGAGCATTCCCTACAGCGTTCAAGAAGTGCCAGGGAGGATTTTCCAATGACAGATATTTCGCACTGGAAAAATATTGATTTGTTGAAACTGTCTGTGGGGAAAGGTCATCTTTGGATCAGCTCCCAGTTTGAGATATTTCCAAGACAAAAATAATTTTTTAAAAAGCGAGATGGCTGTTGAGAAGTAGTGTTTCAATAAAAATTTGAAATTACTTTTAAAAAAAGAAAGAAATGCTTTTTTAACTGAACTGTTAAGGAATTTATATAGAAAAAAAAATTAGAAACTGAAATAAAAGGAAATTGCTATGAAAGTACAAATTTTAGGCATTCAGAAACTCCTGGGAGATAGGAAAGCTTGTCTGCACAGCTGTTAGGAAGCAGTCCTGGGAGAGGTCAGGCTCTGGAAACTCCCAGGCTGGGAGAGATGTGCTGGCAGGTGAGCGGTGCTTCTGATTACAGGGATTACAATGGCATCCATTGGACAAAGGGGCCTCACTGTGCCAGGTGTTTTCTCTGCCCCAAAGATCTCACCATCTAAACAGACGCCTGGGAGCTTGGGGATAAAGGAAGTTTTATCACTCTGTTCTAGGTGGAAAGATGAGGAACAGAAAGGGATTAAATGTCTTGCTGAAAGTCTGCTGGGAGATGAGCTGAAGCAGAGCTGCTCAGAGCTCTCTGCTCAGTGTCACAGCCACAGGCTCCTGTGTCACTGCCTGCTCCAGCTGAAGCCAGGCTCTGGCTCTGGCCCTTCCCACCTTTCCCAGCTTCTCACACTTTCCCAGGATGGTGTTCCCTTCCCTGGGACTCCATCCCCACACAGACTCCCAGCCTGCAGAGCTCAGGCATGGCTCAGTGCAGGGATCTGTTTGAGGTTCCTTAGCTCAGTGCTGCAGCTGGAAATGAGGAATGGGAAAGTCACTCCAGCCAGCTCCTGGTCCACAGGCAGCGAGTCTGGAGCTCCTCCTGGGGTAGCTATTGCATCAGCACTGCTGCCAAAATCTGTGTGATCCTGCCCCATGACCTCACACGGGCTCACAAGGCTCCCTCAACTCAAACCCTCAGATTATTACCTGCAAGGGGACCTTCCAAAGCTCCAAAGTATAAAGAGAATCCAATGAATAAAGATGTCCTTCCCACAATGGAGCAACTCTACAGAAGCTTGTTCATTCCCTGCACATTCACTCCTTTACCTTGTCTGCATCCAAGGAAAGAAACACTTATTTCTCCTGGAGATGAATTTGTTTCTGCTGCAGACTGGAAAGAGGAGCCTCTTCTTTCTAGCAGCAGAATTAAACCACCAGAAACCAATTTTTCTGTCAAAATGAGGGGACTATGAATAAGAACTTAGGAAAAGTAAATATCCCTAAGGGAGAGGAGTAAGAGACCTCCTAACACACAGGCTTGCTTCTAAATAGGCTGGCTTTCCATGAAGTATCAGAACTCTCTTATTTTGCCAGCACATTGCTAACCAGGAGAGAAAATGTGCTTATGAATGGGATTCTAATTAACATCCATTAGGTAAAATAAACACACAATTTACTCTTGCTTTCCTGTCCAAAGCACAGTGCAAATGTTCTCAAAGCCTCCCGATTCTTCTGAGCAGCAACTCTTTACACAAGGTGACAAAAACAATGCCCCCAATTTCTACACCGTCACTGTCTTTAATTTTGGGTGCCTAAAAACCCACAGCAATCACAAGGGAGGTGAGCAGCACTGTTTGATGGAGCTTCTTGCTGCTGAAAATGAGATGAGAAGTGTTCCAAACTCAAATCCTGTAGAACTGGAAGGCACTTTTGGAAAGGAGCCACGCTAACCCAGACAAGATAATTGTGAAACTCAGATCCATGTCTCGGTGGCCAAACTGCTGACCTGTGTCTAGAGCTGACATTCCAAGATAGTGCCAGACAAGCAGGGGAAGACTCCCAGACTGCAAGGAAGGCACAAAGGAATAGAAACACATTCTGGGTTTTTTTTGGGAAGCAAACAATGAAACAGGAAAACACTGT